GGGGCGTGGACATTTGCTCGCCTTTTCTCACCCTCCGGAATGGGCAACACCGGTCGGCCGTGGAGGGCCCAAGGCCGGGGCGCATGTCCGCATGCGACACGCGCCGTCTCGGCTTGCGGGTGTGGGAATGGACGGGATTCCATCGGCCACCCTCGCTCTGCCGCGTGCGCGCACAGACACCCACACACACATACACACACACACACACATCTCCCTGGCGTGCATGCATGCATGTGAGTCCTCTACTCCCTCAGTCGCCATGTCCCCTCACATAGACAGGCCCCTGGCGCGGTGTCTTCGCGCCTCGCTGGCCCTGGGCAGGGAAGGGGTCATTCAGAGGCAAGGACCCACTTGCGTCCCCACCTGCAGCTCGGGCACGTCTAGCTTCGAAGCGGGCAGCCCGGGCGCCCGGATGATTTCCGGCTCCTCCAACTCGCTAGACGGAGGCAGACGGGCGGCTCGGAGGACGGGTCCCGGCCTGGCGCATCTGGGGACGCCGGGGCGGGACGACAATCTGAGACAGGAACCCATGGTAGGGAGCGAACATGATCCGCGCCGGAGGATATTTCGAGGCCAGGGGTGCATGTGCGCCGGCATAATATATATATATATATATATATGTGCCACATTAAATGGGGGTTTACGAGCGGCTGGCGGGTTTACAATGGGGAGGCGGCTGGCGAGGGGGAGCACAGCTGCAAGGGGCCGATGGGCGGGCGGGCGGGCGGGCGGGCGGGCGGGCGGGCGGAGGGAAAAGCGGCCTGGACGCCGGCACTATCCCCAGGTCCGCCTCCGATGACCCTCTCTTGGCTGACATCTCCTCCCGGCCGGAGCCGGCTCCCCCCGGTGCAACACGCCACCGCGGGCCCATTAGTGGCCTCGCCGCGGCTGTGGTGCCTCCGGCTGTCTGGGCTTGGGCCCTTTGCAGACACCTTGGAGAAAGAAGCACCGGTCCGGGCGCACGTGCGTGTGCATGTGTGTGTGTGTGTGTGTGCGCACATGTATGCATGCATGCTTGTCCGCAAGAAGTGGGCAGGTGTGCCTGTGCGCTCGTGCGTGGGTCTGTTAAGTGCCACACTTTATGGCCAGGGGCCAGGGCAGCACCCTCCCTCGGCCGGTGGATTTACACCTGCCCAAGCCCATTCCATGTGGAAGGCCGCCTCCAAGTGCGCCGCGGCCGTCCGGCATGCCGCGAAGGTGCTTTCCTTGGTGTGCCTCGCAAAGGCCTTCTCCTGACTCGTTCCCTCGCGGGGCTCCCGCCTGTGGCGCCTTCTGCCTGCCCTCGTCCTTTGGGGTCGCCTAAGAACTTTGTGGCCGTCGACGCACGCCGGGGGGGGAGGGGGGGGGGCAGTCCACGGCAGGGGACGGAAGGGGGAAATGAGGGGAGGCGCCGGGCGCCCCTTTTTTTGGCGGCCAATTCTGCACGCGGTGCCTTTGGCGGCTGCTGGCGCCCGCACCGGTGCCAGTAGCCGTGGGGTAGGCAGAGAGTGGTAAGTTCATGGGTTTAGGAGGGGGGGGGGGAAATACTTGGGTCTTGTCTCATGGCGCACACCACCCGCGGGTCTGTTGTTGGCGGGATCTTCCCCAGCCCAGCCTCGGATGGGGGGGGGGGGGGAGCGTCGGGGGTGGCTTATTGGCACATGCGCCGGGGACTCTTTGCCCAGCTGGGAACCTCCTCATGTCCTGGCCCTCCCATCGGCACATCGGCACATCGCCCTTCAACGGAGCTCTCCCCACCGGCCGTGTGAGTGTCGCCCTATCGGTTTATCCGGGCAAGGGAGGAACTGGATGGCATGCACGCACATGCGACAAAGTGTCTCGGTGTATATCCCACAAGCAGGGACACAGGCACACGCGCACTTCCCCACCCATGACCATGCCCATGTCCGGAGTGTGAGGCACAACGCCCAACACACAACGCCCAACACACAACGCCCAACACACAACGCCCAATACACAACGCCCAACACACAACGCCCAAATACACAACACACACACACACACACGCACAACACGCAACACATGAGCGATGTTCGCGCCTGCCCGCCCGCCCGCGCGTGTGCGCGCCCGCGCCCCCATTCGCCTCGGTGTCCCAGAGCCAACTTATCGCCTACCCCCATGCCGACCAACGGCCGCATGGCGATGGGAACCCACCCCTTCCCCTTTCTTGCATTTTCCCACCTCCCCGCTTTCACCCTGCCCTTTTGCCTCCCACCTTCCCCTCTGCCGGCCTACTCTCCAGACCTGTGCCACGGACGATCCCCTCCCAAGCGGACACGCAAACGAGCCACCATCGCAAGCGCACGCGCCTGCGAGAGCGAGAGCGTGAGCGAGCGCGACGCCCAGACAGCGAGCGCGAGAAAGACACACAGAGAGCGAGAGCGAGACAAACAGAAAGACACAGACCGACCGATAGACGACAGACCCGCTGATCTGGTACGTCGCGAGGCCACGGCTTTTGCCGCCGGTGCGCCGGCCGCCACAGGCCCCTTCCCTTTGGGCGGGAGTCCGTCCGAGACTTCCTCCTGCTCCTCCGCCCCGCCCGGAGCGGTGGGCCTTTCCCGGATGCCCCGTCCGAGTCCCGGCTGACAGGATTGACATGAATGCTTGCCTTTCGCTGGCCCTTTCGCGATAGATCTCCGCCCATCGAGGATCCCCCCTCCCTCTGCCGATCTCCTGGGCTCGACTCCCATCAGCAGGCCATAGTGCACATTGGAGGAGATCCCTCTGCGTCTGCCTTCATCTTCAACATCCTCGGTGCGTCCCTGCTGTCGTGGCTCCTGCCGCCTGTGTGACACGACCGGCTGCAGTGGGCCGTACTCGACGTCCCGTTGAGAGGCACACGCACGCACGCACGCACGCACGCACATGTACCACGCCCCCTTTTCGAGGATGAAGACCACTCACAAATGGGAGGTCGCTCCAGATTACGTGCGTCTTCGCGCCGCCGTAGTCGACGCGTCCACCCTTCTTTCTCTCTCTCTCTCTCTCTTCGTGGTATCGTCCTCCTCCTTCCGAACAGCGAGAAGGACAGCTTACTCAGCACGAGGGAACACGCACACTCGCAGCAGGGAGCAACTCGCCAGCAAAACGAATCGAAGTACGTGCACGCGAGCATGAGAACACTCGAGACGCCGGGCCAGGCAGAGGGACATGCCGGCCACGAGGCAGGAGCACGAGCAGCGCGGGGGGGGGGGGGGGAGGAGGATCTACCTGAGCACTGGGTCGTGAAAGCGCGGGAAAGTCCCATTGCGTCGCCTCCCCCCAATCCTGCCCCGCATGCGCAAACACACAGCATCCTCCGCTTGCGCCTCCCCCCCCCCCTTGCCCGCCCTATTCCACCGTCGCTGACAATTCTGTCCCACGCCTGCCCCTGGCCTTTCCGGCCCCGCCCCGGGCCAGTTCAGGGATTTCCGCCCGGCCAGGTGCCCGTGATGTACGCATTTTACCGAGTGAATCGCTACATTCATGTACCAACGCACAAGGTTCGTCCACCACCGCTTCGTTGGCATGCCTCGGGCTCGTGCGGCCGGCCGCCGGGCCCGGAGTGAAGACCGATGCTTACGGGCGGAGCGCCCCTCTGAGCGCGGGGGGGGTGGGGGGGTGGGGGCGGGATGCGCCGGAGCAGGGCATCTGGCGGCGGGGACGCCCCATGCGCCCCGCTGCTGAGCCAGGGATCGCACCTGCCATCGAGCCCTGTATATCCGACCATCTGGAGTCCTGGCGGGGGGGGCGGGGGAGGTGGCTGGCCGGCAGGCGCGCACCCACGCCCATACACATCCCCGGCACACGAGGGCGGAGGTTGGTCCATCCGAAACATACACGCTAACCCTGTTCCGCCGTTGTTTCCCATGCCCGAATGCGGCCCCGCATTGATCCACGCGAAGGAATCAGAGTGAAAGGGGCCCACTTCGGTAGCCCCCCTTCGGCCGCGGCCCCCTTCCCTGCTGGCGCCGTGTGCCTGGCGACCGGCTCCGCTCTGGATGCCTCACTGGCCGCCGGAGCAACGAGCTGACATGTGAAGCCGGGCCTGGGCGAGGGGGGGGGGGGGGGGGGGGGGACAGAGTCCGACACAGTCATGCTCGGGGCTTATTTCTGGCCCGGATGTGCCCCTTGAGCCTGCCCATCGCAACGCCGGGGGGCTGCCTGGGCCTCCCCCTTGGGCTCCTGGCCAACGCCGACAGCGTGAGGGCAGGGCCCGGGTCGGGAGAATGCTCCCCTCCCGCCCCTCCCCTCCTCCTGCGGTGGGGGCCCATCTGTGCCGCGAGTCGGGTCCCTCGCGGCCACGCACACCCATGTGCCGACAGGCCCCGACGGGAACCGGGCCCGAGAAAGAGAGAGAGAGAGGGGGAAGGGAGCGGGAGACACACGACCCATGGTCCCGCCACATCTTGGCAACTAACACCGGCATCCTGTGACTGGCTCATGCCGGCCCGAAGCGTGCGTCCCCGCTTCCTCCCCTTGCCTCGGGTGACCCAGCGACGGAGGACGAGAGTTAGAGCGCGCGCGCGCGCCGCTGCCACGACAAAGCTCTGCCGGGCCCCTGCGCCGGCGCACTGCCCCCCCCCCCCCCCCCCCCTGCCCACCGAAGACTATCCACCCAGCGAGGTGCGTTATCGCCCGGCTTACGGGGCCGGTTTCCCTGTGCGCTAGCCTTGGCAACGCGCTCCCTGTGCGGCCTCTCATGCGGGGCATTCCCTAGGGGTTCCCTGGGCTCTCTCCGCCCCTTAAGGAGGGGTCCTTCCGAAGAATGACCGCGATGAGCAGGCGTCCACGCGAGGGTGCCACGGTCGAGGAAGCCACATGGCCCTCTTTTTTTTTTTCGGCGCCCCCGGCCGCCTCCCCCGTCTCGGCCGGCCCGCACCTCACGGGGGCGGGGCCGGGGAGCGCGCGGCCCGCCGTTGTGTGCCCTTTGCGCGGCCGACTGACGTATCGGCCCTCGTGCCCCGGGGACGCGCCCGCCCGCAGCCGCCCACCGGTCGTCCCTTCGACGCTGCACCATGCCGCTGGCGCAAAGTCAGGCCGCCGCCGCGGCCTCACCCTCGGCCGCAGGGCACACGCTCGTCGGGGAGCCCGGCGTCGGGATGGACTTCCATCATGCGCACCACCACCGGAAGGGCAGCCACACGGGGGCCTTTTGGCCCGCCCGTGAGACGATCGCCCCGCAGGACGACCCGGCCGAGGCTGCCCCCGCCTACTGTACGTCCTCCACGCATACGCGACAGGGGCAGGGGGGCCTTGCCCCTGCCGCCTCTTTCGCTTCTCAGTCCCCGAGTGTCCTTGTGTGTGTGTGTGTGTGTGTGTGTGTGTGCTGTTTTGTATATGTCTACCTTGTGCTCATGTCGAAGCCCGGGAGGGGGCGGGGTGTTCGCTCGTGCGAGTTGCAGGCGGTCGGTCGTGGCACACGAGGGTTCCACTGTGCGTCGGGTGCGCGGCGCGCCAACCGACGCCAAGACGCCCTCACACTCTTCCCGCGGTGGCGACGAACACCCCTGCGCTGGCGCCGACTGAAACATCCCGTCTGGCGGTGCATCGTGGCCGGCGGCGCTCGCACGCGAATCCGCGCACACACCCACACACATCGAACCGAGCCCGCCGGCACGGGTCGGGGGCGGGGAGGGGGGCCGATGCAAGGACGGGCGAGAAGAACAGAGAGAGAGAGAGAGAGAGAGAGAGAGCGGCCGGCGCCGGCAGCGGCCTCCCGCCGGGCTGGGGGAGGGGGCCCCAGCCGCGCGTGCCGCTTATGCAGCCGGGCCCCTCCCTAGCCGGGTTGTCGTCTCCGGGCTCAGGGGCAGCAACCGAGGGGCGCCGAAGAACCCAGCCACGCCAGCCAGGGTGGCAGGGCCACTCAGTCACGCCGCCGGCGCCGGGCTCCAGACCGGGTGAGGCGGACGAGGGACCGCCCCCGTGTCCAGGCAGGTGGCCCGGAGCGGCGGCGCTCTCTCTCTCTCTCTCTTGCGCTCCCGGGGGGAGGGGGGCCAGGGCCCGGTCTGGGCGAGCAGGCGGCGCGGGCCGGGCCGGTGGATGCTCGGCCCCTTGGTCCGCCGCCGCCCGTCCGTGTCTCGGCCTGTTTTGAAACACCCGCGGCCGCATGTGTGGCGGTGCGAGTGCGCGCCGAGATGCTCGGCTGGGCCCAGACGCCGCCGCCGACCGCTGGCCGCCGGCCGGCCTCGGTCTCCAGTGGTGTTGGAAGGAGGCGAAGACCGGGCCAGGCGCTTGCGGGCGCCGCTTCCAGATGCGGGCTGGATCGCGTGCCCCGCGCACCGGGGGCAAGGGAGGGGGGGGGCCGTCCCCCGGACCGTAAAGCCTCGCTCCAACTCCCGCCACTCGAGTCCCGGGAGTGCGAGGGCCGAGGCAAGGGACGGGCGGAGACCATACCGCCCGCGCTACACACACACACACACATATGTATATATTGATATGCTGCCTGAGCCGTGTGGCACGCTGGCGAATCTCTGACCGTGAACACCCCCGCTCGTTGGAAAAAAAAAAAACACCACGCCGGCGCCGGCAAAAACAATCCGCCCGCGCCCGCACCGATGATGCTGCCGCACAACAGTCACCGGCCCGCGGATGGACCTGGACGCGGGTGCCGCCGACCAGACATGGAAAAACTCCAGCGAAAAGGTACACCGAACCTCCATTGCTTCGTAGAATTATTCGCATGCCAATTTTGGCCTCGGGTGGGGCATTTTCGGCCCGGCCCATTTTGGACATGCCCCGAACCCCCTAATTGGGCCAGTTCCACTTCCCCCGGCGGATGGAGTTCCCGCTTCTTTCCCCGGGCCCGGGGGGGGGGGACGGGGGACGGGGGCGAGGCCCCTGGTCTCCCCCGCATCCACGCTCCCCTGAGTGCAAGTTCTTCCTCCGATGCGCATCTCCCGCTCGCCCCCCGGCCCTCGTGCCTCGCCCTGTCCCTGTGTATGTGCATCCGCCGGGGACACGACCAGGCTTCGGTCGTGGGTCATTCACTCGAGTTGCTGGCCCTTTCACCCGTCCCCCACGCCCCGGCTGTAGTCAGCCCGGCTGGCCCAAGTGATTTGACCTCCGGGGGGGGGGGGGGGGCGTTCCGCCGACCTCGTCCGGCGCACGCTGCCCGGGCGGATGTCGTCGGTCCGTCCTCCGCCCATTCGCCAACCTGCCCGTGCACGACCTTGATCGAGCAGCGGGCCTACGGCTGGGGCTTGTTTTTTTTTCTTTTCTTTTCCGCCCACGCCCTGCCCCGCACGCCGGGGCCGGGGCCGAAGGCCGAGCGGCAGCCAGTTGGAAGGAGCAAGAGACTGGCAGGGCAGCCGCTCGGCCTCGGAGTTGGGGTGTTGGGGTCTACGCTAAGTCGTTGCCGTGGAGGACGCCCGCCAGGCAGCGCTGCCAATGCTTTTTTATTTCATCCCCGGGCGACGGCCCTTCCGCGAGGCGCATTCATCGCGTCGCTCACGCCCCCGGTCCTGATTGCGGTTGCCCTTCTCGAGGCCGCACCGGGGGCGGGGGGGGGGGGGGGGCATGAGGGGGACAGAGGCCGGCATCGTTGGGCAGGAAGGCCGCAAGCTGGCCCGCCTCGGACGCCTCCCGAGTCGGTGTCCAACCGGCAGCCGCGCCTGTGCAGCCGCGCCCCGTGTGTCGTACAATTATCCGCCCCCCCCCCCCCCCCCCCCCCCCCTGGGGAGAAAATGGTGGCGACGGTCGTGCGCCAAGGGAGGAAGTCCCCGGTGGCTCCTGCCGACTCGACATCGGCCAATTGCCGGGCCAGGGGGCTTCTCTGCCTTTCGCGCGTCTGCCGGCGCGGCGCGGTGGCCGAGGAGTCTTGTCTCATGAGTGTGTGTGTGTGTGTGTGTGTGTGCCCCCCCCCCCCGCCCCGCCCCCGGGTAGACTCTCTCCCTCGGACGCGGGCGGCCCCGGGAGAGAGCCAATGACGCCGGGTACGGTCGCAGGACGGGCGGCCTGCTCGCAAACGACTGGTGGGGCCCCGCCCGCAACTTTCCCCCGTTTATCGCCCCACGCATTCCCCCGGGGCGCCCTGCTGGCGTCTGCCCCAAGGGTGCAGGTTGTGCTCACCGAGAGAGTCCCAGCGCCGGTGAGGGCCCTCGCCGGCGCCGGCACCCGGGCGGGGGTGTGCTCATCCCACCGGGCGTGCGTATGCCGTACATGCGCCAGTGTAGGCAGGCATATATGACCGCGGTCGGGCCTCTGGGGGGGGCCTCGAACAGGCCAGCGCGCAGACCAGGTCCATCTCACACTGGATCGACCCCAGACCGGCGCCCTGTTCGCCCGTCCCAACACGCCTGGTGCAACCTTTACGCAGACCCCGTCCCATGTGGTGTTCACAGTCGACCGCTGTGGACATACCACACCGGTGCACGCCGCACCTCCCGGGGGCCCGGGACGCACACACGCACATGCGCGAGAGCGTGCACACGCGAGGGCGCTGCCGGGTCCCTCGCACCCCGTCCGGCGGGGGGCCCCCTTCCGCGGCTTTTCCCCGGCTTCGCCCCTCCGGCCTTGCGAGTGTGACGCGCCTCGCTGAGTGTGTGTGTGTGTGTGTGTGTGTGGTCCCGCGGTGGCAGCGAGGCCCTGCGCCCGCACCAAACACTGGCTCATGCTGGTCACATATTGGGACCCCCCTATCCCTCGGTCCCCCACCTACCTGGGCTCTTCTGAGGACGGGGGGGGGTGGGGGGGGGGCCGGCCAGCGACACAGCACCGGGTGTCTTCCCATTTTGTGGGCGGTCCAGAAGACGCCTTGGCGGCGATATGGGGTTCGGCCGGTGGCTGCAGGGCGACCCCGGGCTTCCCATGGCACCTGCGTGCCGGTGTCCGTCTCTGCGCCTGCTCTGCCGCACTTCGCCCCCCCGCTCGCCTGTTCTCGCGACCTGCGAGGCGCATCCTGGGCGAAAGCGGGGCCGCGGAAGCCGACAAGACCGCGGACAGGGGGGACCACCAGCACCCTGCTCCCCTCTTTGCGGGCGGCTGCACAGGCACACACTCACACACAGCCAGCCAGCCAGCCAGCCAGCCAGACCCACACATGCATGCGCACACACACACACACACACACAGGGGGCCCAAGTTGCCCGATTGTTGAGTACCTTGTCATTTTCACCCGCATGTGCCCCCCTTCCCGTCGCACCACCCCCTGGGCTGGCGTGGCGGATGTTCCACCCGGCCGGTTCGTCCTGGCGAAAGGCGCAATTCACCGCCCCCCCCCCCTACCTGGGCGCCTTTTGGACAAAATGCGCTTTCCACGCCCCGGTCCCCCGGCCCGTGGTCCCGAGAGACGCGCCTGTGTTTCATCATGGCGCCGTGAGCCTCTGATGCACGTTTGGCGACCGACCTCCGTGCGAATGGCCTGCCCCACGGCTCCTGACGACCCAACGAGCGGCCCGGGCCAGGGCCAGCCACAGCGCGAAAGCGAGTGGGAGAAAGAGGGCGACAGGGGGGGGGGGGAGAGAGGCACCGGGCCCAGCTCACCGCGTACACAGCCGCCGCATCCATGGAGAGTGGGCACGTCTCTGCCGCCGTTGCCCGCCGGCAAGCCACCGGCCGACGGGGCATGCGTGCACCCCCTCCGCATGCGGCCGACAAGTGTGCCTCCCGTGTGGCCGGGCCTGCCGGCCGTGTTCTCCCCTGTGGCCGAGCAGATGGGCGCAGGCCGGGAACAGGAGACGGGGCGCCCCGACGTGCGAACGCGTCCGTACACATACCCCCCTTTCTGTTGTTTGGCCCGGAACATTTCCCCCCACCCCCGTCCCCACTCCTCCCCCCGGAGGGACGGCACACGGGAACGGCGCGAGCAGCCGCTCCCACACCGCCCACCCGCCGCCGGGACGATATGCTCCCCCCCCCCCTCCCGCTCTCGGACTGCAAAATGTCCCGACCGGCCGCAGGTGCCCCACAGCCGCGCCTGCTTTTTTTTTCCCACATTCACGGCTCCTCCCGAGAGTCTGGGTGCCGGCGCCATTGCCGAAGTACTCGCTCAACATGCGAGAGCAAGAACGGGGCGGGGGCGGGGGCGAGGTGCCATCCGGGTTGGCAACGAGCTCCCCTCCTGCCCCACTCAGCTGTGCACAGACGCACGGGGGTGGGTGGGGGGGGGGGGGAACGATGTGGCAAGGCAGGCGGATTTCCGCTCGTCTCACGCCCACCCCCCTCCCCCCCTTTCCGGAGGTGGGTGGCTGGCTGGGGGCAGAGACGTGCTGGAGCGAGCGAACTGGCAGCAATGCCCGTCGATGATCGACGCGCTCGGAGCTGGCGCACGCGCGCTTTCCGGCGATTTTCGCCGAGCCATGCTCCGGAACAGGCGCGCGAGGCGAGGGCGCCCCGGCGGCCGCCAAAGAGAGATTCCCGCCCGCGATCCCGCTCGCCACCGAGCCACCCCCCCCCACCCCCCCCCCCCCCCCCCTCCACCACCCCCACGAAAAAACAGACCACCAACAGCCGCCTCCCAGACCCGCCTGCTCGGCTTGGTGGTCTGCATCCCTATTGCCCTCTTCTCTCCCTTTGCCAGTCTGCACGCGCACTCCCCCCCTCCTCGCTCGTGGTCGCTCCCGCCTGCGCCCCCATCCCCCCCCCCTTTCCGTGCGCGGCCAGCTGCCCTATTTAGAGTACATGTCCTTCGCCGGCCTTGCGCCCGGCAGCCTCCCCACTTTTGGGCACTGGCCCCGGACGCGATCGCATGACCATGGCCCCATCTCGCGCTTCTGCATACTCCCCCCGCCCTGCCCCGCCCCGCCCCGCCCCCTCGCCCCTTTGCCTCCTCTTGCGGCTGCCGCGCCTCCTGCGCAGCACCCCCTACCCTTGCCTGTCCCATCTGCCGTTCCCTATCCCCGCGTCCTGACCCCTCCCCCCCCTCCCCCCGCGCCCACCAACCTGGCACCCGTTGCTCCTTCACGTCCTGCCCCATGCTTTCCAGCTTCCGAGCTTGCACCTGACTGGCAACCAGGACTCGATCAAGCGCCACTGCTCTGTGGCCCCCAGCTCCAGTCAGCCGGAGCTCCATTCTGCCGAGGATCAGGCAGCTATTGTGTTGCTCCAGCAGCAGCAGCAGCAGCAGCAGCAGCAGTTCCACCAGCTTCAGGGGGAGTATCTTTCGCCGCAGCCGCCCCCTCCCGGGGCGACCACCTTGCCCAGCGCCACTGCCGACAGCGCGGCGGCCCCTGCCGCCTCGCCTGGGATGTACTCGGTCGACAACGGCCCCGCGACATCCCCCCAGCGCGGCCAGCCAGGCCAGGTGCGCACCCCGCTCCAGGCACCACCCTACCAACAGTCGTCGACGCCCTACCAGTCGACATCGTACCAGCTGTCTCCGCAGTCCTACGGCCAACAGCAGCAGCAGCAGCAGCTGCTACTGCAATCCTACATCCAGCAGCAGACGCGGCAGCTTCCCGCCACGAGCAGCACCGCTGGCAATTCCCAAGCCGACCAGCAGCACCTGCTGCTGCCCGCGGCTGGTGCCGTGAACGCCGGCTTCCCCTCGGCCACAGCAGGCAGCACTCCCATCGCTGCCCAGTACGTCCAGTCGGCCGGCAGCCAGTACGCACTGGCTCCCCAGTCAGCCTCGTACTCCCCGTCTCCCTATCAGCCAGCAGGCTCGTACACACAGTCGGCCTCTCCGCAGTACCTTCTGCAGCAGCTGGCCCCAGCCCAACAGTCGGGCCAATATCACGGCCAGTCGCAGCCGCCGCCGCCGCCGTCGTCGCAGCAACAGCAGCAGCAGCAACAACAACAACAACAACAACAACCTCACAACGGTGCCTGGGCTCTCGCGTCCGGCCAGCACCAGCCGATCACCGAGCCGCATCACGGCGACATGCCGCCAGCCAGTGATGCCTACCTCCTGGACGCCGGGCTCCTGCTGCCGAATGGAGGCAAGGTCACCGGGCTCCTTTCTTCGGCCTCCGCGAGCGGGCTGTCCGGGTCGGCCGGGCCAGCGGAGGAAGGCCCGCCGGTCCTCGGGGACTCGGGGCTCGCGTGCGGGCGCCCGCCCACTGGCATGGCCCTTCTCATGGACCCGGCGGGTCCCTCTCAGGGGGGGCCCGGCGCGGCCGGGGCCACCATCGGCCCGGCTGCGGCCGCGGGAAACACCCCCCACGGCGCCATCGCCGCCACTCCGAGCGGTGGGAATCCGATGCCGGAGGCCTCCCCCTCCGACGAGGCATTCGGCTTCCTCTCGGCACTGGTCAACACCGGCACGGGGGCCGGCGGCATGGCAGGTGGCCAGCCGCTCAAGCGCCGCCGCCAGCAGCTGGATGACATGCAGCATCTCATCAGCAGCGCCGGCCTCGGCAGCAGCAGCACCGGCGCCCTGTCCACAGCAGACCCGGAGGACGACATGCTGCGAACCGCCGACATGGCGGAGTACCTTCAGGCGCCCGGGGCTGGCGGCGGCCCCGGCGGCGGGGGCGGCACCGCCCGCCGGTCATCCTCCTCGCCCCCCGGCGGGGTGGGCGATCTGTCGGACCCGCAATCCGCCGGCGAGGAGCTGGCCGATGCCGACACGCGCCAATCGGCCGCCGGGGCAGCCGGTGCCGCCAGCGGCGCCGGCCAGCGCCGGGGAAAGAGCATGCGCCAGCGCCGCAGCGAGATCGAGCAGCGCTCCCGGCAACTCCAGCGCCGCAACTTCCAGTACATCACCGAGACCCTGATCGATCGCAGCCTGACCGAGGCGGCCGTCATGCGGTGTGAGAGCGTCGCGCAGCACACTCTCTCGGCGCAGCTCCGTGGGTGCGTCCTCTGCCTGGAGGGCCGGCCGGCGGGGGGAGGGTGTCTTAGTTTGTTTGTTTGTTTGTTTGTTTTTTTGCCCGTCCCTCCTGCCGAGGCCGGGCTAGCCAGCCGGCCGGCCGGCCGGCCGAAAGGGGGGCGGGGGAGGATCATGGCGCATGGTGCCCCCAGGCATGGTGCCCCCCGCTCCGGCCCCGCTCCTGAAGCGTCCACACTTTGAAGATATTGACATTTGCGGATGCTGTTTTTGTCCATGTGCCCCCCCCCCCTCCCTTGGCACGACTGGCCCCCATCTTGGCCATCTCGCGTCCGTCTGCTCGCTCGGTCTTCGGGTTTCCCGTCATGATGACCCCACGTGCGGCCACCATGACCATATCGTCCACACGCTCGCGTATCCAGCATTGTCGAGCAGTTCAAAAACCAGAGCACCACCGACCAGCTCAAGGGCGATGGCACCAGCGCGGTACGCCGGCCGCGCCTCTGCCCGGGCCTTTCCGGAATGAAGAAGAAAGCCCATGTGAATACGTGCCACAAGGAATGCTGACAGCTCATCGCGCGAACAATTCGCCCCTCCCTTCGGCCCGGGTCCTGCCTCCTGGTCTCGGGGATCGCGAAGAGCCTCTTCCCCATGCCGGAGCCCAATCTCATCAAAAACAAGGAGCAGGTCCAGGAGTACATCAAGTCGGTATGTCGCCCGCGCTCCGCCCTCTCGCCGGGCCAATTGTGTCCCTGGCGCGTGCACGCATGCACGCATGCACAGCACACGCCCCCCCCTTCTCCCGCCTGCCCCCTCCCTCCCCACCCTACACACACAGACACACACGCACACACGTACAGGGGGGAGGAAGTGGGCTTATTTTTCCGGGGCCCGCCCTGTTGCCGTCAGTCAAGCCTGGTGATCGGGTCTGCCGTCACGCCGCCGAGGCTGCCTTAACTAGGCGCTGAGTCCGGCTGCCGGCGCCTCTCGCCTCCTCTCCACCGCCCCTCGAGTTAAGTCGCGCCCGCGAGCGAGCACCAACTGACCCTCGACGCTGCTTTGCGCATGCACCCAGCTGAATGCCCTGCCCAATCAGAATGTCCCCTCGCGCACGGTCCAGTCCAAGATGTACACCTTTCTGCGGAATATCTTCGACGCCGGGTCAGTAGAGGGGCGCCGGCGTTTCCGGTGGGATGTCAGCACGGAATTCACCGGCGTCGACGTCAAGCTCATGCGCATGTGGCTGGACATGTGCGTGTCCCTCTCTCTCTCTCTCGCCTCCTCTCTCTCTCTCGCGCACGCGCGCCCACCTTTTGTGGGGCAGCAGGCGGGGGCGGTGAACAGCGACAGCTGCCTCCCATAACCGCGCTGGCCTCCAAGAATGTGTACTGACATCGTCCCACGGGCCGGGTCCCTGGCGGATGTGCCTGTACGGCGCACCTGTGTGTGTGTGTGTGTGTGCTGTTTCTCCCGCCCGGCCCCCAGCTTCCTGGCCCAGTTCCTTGCCGCCAGCATCCAGAGCACCCACCACGTGGGGAAGGAGTCCTATGCGGCGGCGCTGGCATCCAGCTCCGGTGCCGGCCGGGGGCTGGCCGGGTCGGAGGCCCCCGGGTCGCACTTGGCACCGGCGGCGCATCATCATCTGCTGGCGGCGGCAGTCTATGACGGGGGAATGGCCGTCGAGCAGGCGGCACAGCATTCGACATCGACAAGCCCGCCGGCCGGGGCCGGCGGCGGAGGGGCCCCCGATCCGCAGCCCCAGTCGGGCTACCACCATGCAGGTGCCCTTGGATTTGGCGAGCCCGCCACCTCGGCCGCGGCGCACTCGGCCATCTTTCACCAGCAGGCGAACCAATTCCACCTCCAGCAGCAGCAGGTCGAGCGGGACCTGCAGCAGCAGCAGCAGCTCCACCATGGGCTCCAGCACCAGCAACAGGTCCACCAGCTTCAGCGACGTATCCAGGCCCAGCAGCAGCTGGCCCTGCTGACCCAGGCGACGGGGCCGGCCACGGTCGGCGCCACCCCCTCCCCGGGGGGGGGTGACCCGGCCGCGGCCGCCCCGGCCATGCACTTTGTCGCGGATCAAGTCCACACCGCGGGACGCCCACAACAGACCAGCAGCCACGGGCCGGGCATGGTTGCCGGGGTGTATGGCCTCGGCGAGTCGCTTTCCACCCACCAGCAGCAGCAGCAGCAGCAGCAGCAGCAACAGCACCATCCCCACGGCGGATTCGGTGGTTCCGCGGGCGGAACGCTTCCGGTGGCCGCCGCAGGGGGACCAGATGCGGTGGAGTATGGCCCGAATAGCGGGCACACGCCCCCCGTGGCGCCGCACCACCACCAGCACCACCACCAGCCGGCACATCACCACCATCATCAGCACCGGATACCGGCGGTCCTGTCGCCGGCCGAGGCGATGGCCGAGACCGGCCCGGCCATGACTGGCAGCTACTTCAAACTGTCGGCCACGCCGCCGATCATCAAACAGCCGCCCGCCACGACGTCGCCGCCGCCGCCGCCGCCGCCGTCGACCACGGCCACGGCGCTGGTCAGCAGCCTCACCGGAGCCGGGCCTGGATGGGCCGACCCGCGCAATGGCGCCGCCGGCGCCAATGGCGGCGCCACCTACGAGCAACAATACTTCGCCCCGCAGCCGCCGCCGCCGCAGCAGCAGCAGCAGCAGCAGCAGCCGCAGCAGCCGCAGTACCCCCTGCATTTGGTGACGGGCCTGGGCGAGGGCCCCGGGCCCGGGGCCACGGCCGCCATTTTGGCCTCCTCGCTGCCTGGGCTGTTCGAGCAATTGGGGGCCGTGGCGGCACCGCGAACGGCGGGCCCGGCAGCCACCAGCCCCGGGCGGTCGTCGGATGCGGCTCCCGCGGCCGGGCCCGGGGGCAGTGCGGGCCCCTGCCCGCGGCTGGATTCGCCCCTGGTGGCCGCCACCACGGGGGTCCTCATGGCCACCGGGTCGGGGGGCATCATGCGCCTGCAGCCGCAGCCGCAGCCGCAGCACCAACAGTCGCACAACCTCCACAACTTGCAGCTCCAGCTTCAGATCCAGAAGCTCCAGCAGCAGCAACTGTTGCAACAGCAGCAGCAGCAGCAGCAGCAACAGCAGCGACAAGAGCAGGACCCGACGGCCGGGGATAGATTCCCAAGCCCGGCGCCGGGGGTGGCGACGATCGCCCCGGGCTCGGCCCCGGTCGCCGCCGGGACCACCATGGCTGCCGCCCAATCGGGCGATGCGCTGTTCCTCAGCCAGTATGCCGCGGTGCTGTCCCAACTGACAGCAGCCGACCAGCCGGCGGCGGCCACGCACCATCCCCACCAGGGACATGCTGCCGCTGCTGCTGCTGCTGCTGCTGCTGGGAACCCCGCCGGGGGGCCGGCATTGCCGGGGCCGTTATTCGCCCCGCCGATGGCCGCGGCCCATCAACAGACACAACTCCCCCCCTCTGGCGGAGGGGGGGGACTCACGGCAGCCGCATCGCCGGTGGCGGGCTCCAGCCCCGGGGGGGCGAGCGCCACCGCCGGGACGGCAGCGCCCCCGACGGCGGCCGGTAGCCACCAGCAACACCATGCCTTCATCCTGCATCATGCTGTGGCCGGTGGCGGGAGAGCGGCCACGGCGACCGGCGGCAGCACGACCGCACCCGACTCAGACATTTTGCCGCCAGCCTCGCAGGCGGTCTTGCTGCACCTTCAGCAGCAGCAGCAGCAGCAGCAGCAGCAGCAGCAGCAGCAATCGCATGACGGCTTCATCCGCCTGGTCGCGGCGGCGGCCGCCCCGACACCGCCGCAACAGGGGGCCCAGCAGTTTGCCGAGTACGTTCCGTGGTTTCGGCTCGGCCCTCGAGCATTTTTCCCGACATATTCCAGGGGGGCCGCGTGCATGCGGCCTTTCTGCCCCGCCCGCGCGCCCCCCCGTGAACAGAGAGTGCACACACACACACACACACATGCCCCGCGTGCCCCTTCTTCCCCCGCTAACCCTGTGAATGTGTCTGGCATGGCAACACTTGTGCCCTGGCAAAAAAAAACAGCGACGCCCGCCCTTGGGACTACCACCAGCAGCAAGCGAGCGGCTCCGGCGACATACCCCCCTCCGGCGGCGGCGGCGGCGGCGGGTCATACTAGCGTGGCATCAGGGTGCCTTCCCTGGGCGAGCCCCCACACCATAGGGCGCGAGGCAGCACCTCCCCGCGCGGACATGACGCATGCCACTCGCGTCGGAAGACACAGACACAGACCCCAGAAGGGGATCCCGCAGAGGGGAACATGTATGCCACGTAAGATCGTGCGTGCATGTCCGCGCGCCCGCCCCCACGCGCGCGCCCGCATGCCAAACGACACCCCCGGGGACCGAAACAAAAAGAGAGATGCACCGCGCAGGCTCCCCCCCCCCCTCTTTAAGACCAATACACCCCAAATGCATCAGCAGCCATCGGAGAAGGCACTTTCGCCGTGTCTCGCCAGAGGCGGCGCAGGACGAAGACATGTGTGTGCTTGCCGCACGCTCCGGGGACGCACCGGGAGCCGGGGGGGGGGGGGGGGGGGGCACACGCGCCAGGCCGTGCTACTGAGACACCCGGGCCGGAAGCGGCTGCCAAGACTCTAAACGTCGTCCGGACCAACCCCCGGCTCCGCCCCCTGTTCGTTCGACTGAATGCCTCACCGACCAGGGGGCTCGCGGCGCCCGATCTACCAGCGTCGACCTCCTCCCCCGACTATCCGGGGAGTTCCCCGCCGATCAGCGTGGCCATGTCTCAAGTGAGCGCTCAAGAGAGAGAGAGCGAGAGAGCGAGAGAGAGCGAGAGAGGGAGGCACACACGGCTGGTCGGGAAAAGGCCGAGACAAAGGGCCCGGCTGCCTCTCGCATCGGGCAGGCACGCGCCCGCGGCCGCCGAGCCCAGCCCAATACCAGGGGAGGGGATATGCCCACCTCCAGGGAGGGTTCCCACGCCCCTGAATTGTAGAAGCCACTCCCCCGCGCGGAACCCGGCCAGTAGGGCAGGAGGGGCCGACCCATCGCCAGGAGCAAGTCGCGCAGAGGGGGGAGGGACACGGATCGGCGGCCGAGAAACAGGCACCGGGGCACAGGGAGGCGGCCCCCGGCCCCCGGCACCCCGCCCCGGTGCCCGTGCCGCCGCCGGGCGGAGACCTCGTCCCTCCGGGATCTGGAAATCCCCGGTCTCCAGGGGGCAGCATCGGGACTCTCTAAGACCAGAGAGGTCTTTGGTGTGATTGTATACATTAAACACGTGGATTACGGAATGCTGTTTGCACATGTGACATGCGTCTCTGAAGTCGGGGCTCGCGCGGCTGGCCGCCTGACCGGCCTGTTGCACGCGGTTGGGGCGTCCCAGCCGGGCGGGCCGGGGCGGGGACGGGGGTAAAGCCCTTGCCGTCGCTATTCCCGCCGCCTGGGCCTTTGTGCCACAGCATCCTGAGCGGCGTGCCGGGAGGGGGGGGAGCGGCGGAAAAAAAAAGAGGATCCAAGCAGGCCGGGTGTAGGTCTCTGAAAGCAGGGCTATGCAATGGTGCCGGCCGACGCGCGGTGCGGCAGTTGGCACACCATCAAGCGAGCCCCACTCGACAACGGTATCCCCACGGCTGGTTCTCCGGGCGGGCACGGAAGGGACGAGGGGCAGGGGCGCCGGGAAAATGGGGCCATGGCCAGCGGCCCACCCGGCCACCTCCAGGTGGGCGTGTGTGTGTCCCCTCCGGGAGAAAAAAGAGCACACACGCACCCGAAGGCCTTTCGCGGTGGGGGTGGGCAGGGGTGGGGAGGGGGGGGGGGGCAGACCTCGACCCTTGAGCCGCCTCGGAAAATATTGCCCCCTCGCCTCGGGCGGAGGACCTTCGGTGGCGTCCTCCGCTCGTGTGGTTGACTGCATCACGCAGCCCGGCCATGTCCATCACATATATGTTGGGGGAATACTTTTTCCCTCGATAAGGCTGGCTCAGGTGGCTGTGGGCTTCCTGGTGTGTTCGGCCGGCTGGCCGGCCAGCCACGGCCTTGCCGGTTCCCCCCCCCCCTCCTCCGCCGTGGGTTCCGGGCCTCGTCGTCTAGCGCCAGAGTGGCTAGGCATCGCACCCTGGGGTGCAACACGTTTTCCTCTGGCGCGCGCGTCCGGGGAAAAACCCTCAGGCGCTCCACCCCCCCCCCACCCCGCTCCCCCAGCCGGGCCCTGTCGTCGGTCCCCCTTCGCAGATGGCGTCCGGGCCGTTTCTTTGCACCGGCGCGCGCTCCTCTGTATTCCATTTTGAACTTGTACCCCCCCCCCCCCCCCCCGGTCCCCCCCGGGGGTGGGAGGGCGGGCGAGAGGACGGATGTCCCAGCTGGAGAGGGGCCCTCCTGCCCCGGCGGCGGTCTCGTGGCCACATCCTCCCCTCTATCTGCGGCCGTTTCCTCCTCGTGCATACGTGCCCAAGGGCGGAGCCGGATGGAGGGGACCCGGAGCCAGGGCAGGGCAGGACACGCCGCCGGGCTGCGTGTGTGTGCATGGGCGAACATGCCAGCCCCGCCGGCCAAGTGTTCCCAACCAGTTCTGAAGTTGTATGCCGGTGCGCCGCCGGGCGGCCCTCCCCCCCCCGCCCGCCCGCCCGCCCGCCCGCCCGCCCCCCGGTTCCTTCGCCCGGGCCGGCGCGCAAGCGAGACCGCGCGCCGGTTTGGGGGAGAGGGGGCCGGGAGGGGGGGGGGGCGGGGGCGCGAGTTAGCTCTCCCCCGGCCCAGGTGGCCCCCGGCTCTGTGGGCAACACGCCTATGCCTCGCGTTTCCCCCACACCCAAGTGCCCTCCCGGCATGATCGTGCCTGTGGGGGTAGAGACCCCATTTTCGCGGCCACCGGGCAGGCGCCCCCGGACAATGACTCCTGGCACCCCCCCCGGCCGCCCGTCCGCCCGGGGTGTGTGGGGTCCAGGCGGCCGGCCCGGGGACACCAGCCCCCTGAGTCATCTGCCCTGGCCGGGCTGGCGGCCGGCGCGCTCTCGCGACACCTCCAACCTCGCCTGCCCGAGGCGGGGTGCGGGGGGGGGGGTGCCCAGCCCAGTCGGGGCTCCGGGTCGTGTGCCCTCGCGCGGCAAGGTGTCGCGCAGCGCACGCTAGTCTCGGGGCGCCGGTATCCCGGCCCCGCCCGGTGCTGGCGCCCCGGTGGCCGGGCGAGGGGGGCAACTAGAGCACCGGCCCCGGCGGCGCTGCCCAGGCACCCCCCTCCCCCGGCACCGGCACCGGCGCCGGGCGCCCGGGCGCCCGGGCTTCGCCCTCTCCTGCCCCCGGCAGTCAAGAGGCCCCCCGTCACCGGGAACTGGCTGCGCCGGTCCCGGCAGCGACCCTGTATTGTTGTTGTAGTACGACTTCCTCCCGTCCCCCTCCCCCCCGTTCCTCCCTCTCCGCGTGTTGCACCTCGCCCGGCCCTGGCCCCCGCCCCCCCCCTCATATACACGCCCCCCACAACTCCCCCCCCCCCCCGCCCCCGCCGCCCTGCCGCTCGGGCACGCATATGCTGCGCAGGTAGTCCTCGCAACAGGCTCGTTCCTCCCCACCCTTCAAGATGTTCTCCCTTGTCGCCAAGACCACTGCCCCGTCCGTCGCCCCGCGCGCGGCCTTCATCGCCTCGCGCCTGATGTCCTCGGCCGCGGCCAGCTCCCCCCAGCCGGAGGGCGAGCCCCGCTTCCTGGAGATGGTCAAGCTGAACTTCGACCGCGCCGCCGCCCTGACCAAGTACTCTGACGACCTGCTCGATGTTGTCAAGCAGTGCAACAGCGTCATCCGCTTCTCCTTCCCCATCCGCCGCGATGATGGCACCATCGAGTCCATCCACGGCTACCGCGCCCAGCACTCCCACCACCGCGTCCCCTGCAAGGGTGGTATCCGCTACGCCGATGAGGTCAACCTCCAGGAGGTCGAGGCCCTGGCCGGTCTGATGACCTACAAGTGCGCCGTCGCCGCCATCCCCTTCGGCGGTGCCAAGGGTGGTGTCCGCATCGACCCGAAGAAGTACTCCGTCGCCGAGCTCGAGCGCATCACTCGTCGCTTCACCATGGAGCTGGCCAAGAAGGGCTTCATCGGCCCCGGCATTGATGTCCCGGCCCCGGACATGGGTACCGGCCAGCGCGAGATGGGCTGGATCAAGGACACCTACCAGATGCTCTTCGGCAACAACGACATCAACTCCCTCGGTGTCGTCACCGGCAAGCCCCTCTCCCAGGGTGGTATCTGCGGCCGCGCTGAGGCCACCGGTCTCGGTGTCTTCTACGGTGTCGTGGAGTTCCTCAACAACCCCCAGATGCTGGAGAAGGTTGGCCTCACCCGCCCCGGCCTCAAGGACCTGACCTTCGCCGTTCAGGGTCTCGGCAACGTCGGCTTCAGCGCCGCCAAGTTCTTCACCCAGGCCGGCGCCAAGTGCGTGTCCGTCGTCGAGTACAACTCCGCCGTCTACAACGAGAACGGCCTCGATGTCGAGGCCCTCAAGCAGTACATGAGCCAGAAGGGCACCCTCGAGGGCTTCCCCGGCGCCACCAAGAGCTTCGCCTCCAACCCCAAGGAGGGTCTCGAGGTCGAGTGCGACTTCCTGGTCCCCGCCGCCCTGGAGTGCCAGCTAAACATGCACAACGCCGCCAACATCAAGTGCCGCTTCATCGCCGAGGCCGCCAACGGCCCGACCACCCCGGCCGCCGATGAGATCTTCGCCAAGAAGGGCATCGTCGTCATCCCCGACATCATGCTCAACGCCGGTGGTGTCACCGTCTCCTACTTCGAGTGGCTCAAGAACCTGAGCCACGTCCGCTTCGGCCGCCTCACCCGCAAGTGGGAGGAGCGCTCCAAGCGCGACCTGGTCGACCTGATCACCAACACCGCCGGCATCAACCCGATCGAGTCCTCCAAGGTCTTCGACGGCCCCTCCGAGCTGGACATCGTCTACTCCGGCCTCGAGGAGACCATGGTCACCTCCATCAACGACATCATCAACGTCTCCAACGAGCTTGGCTGCTCTCTGCGTGACGCCGCCTACGTCCTGGCCATCCGCCGCATCATGGTTGTCCACCAGGAGGCCGGTATCACCATCTAAGCGCGTGGTGTGTTGTCCATGCGTGCGTGCGCGTGTGCATGCCTGCGCCCTCCTCTCTCTCTCTCTCTCTCTTTCCCTTCCCATGTCTCCCATGTGTAGCCGCGTCTAGTGCGTGCCTATGCGTGTGAAGCGCCGCCAATCACCACATCCCCACTGCGCGTCTCTCGTTGTGTGTGTGTGTGTGTGTGGTGTGCCGCGATGGGGGACGGGGGGCGGGACCGAGCGAGAGAGGGGGCTGGGCGGGGAGCTGTCGGGGGGCGGGCGGGGGGGCAACCTGTGCAATCCCTGCACTTGTGCCTTCCTCCCCCTCTCCCCCCCCTCCTCGCTGTGCGCGCATTCAGGGCCCCGGTTGCCTTTCTCTTTCTCCTCCCTGTTGTATTGCGCGCGCGCGCGGGTCCCTCCGAAGAAATGCACATATGTCCTCTCTCTCTCTCTCTCTCCCTCTGTCTCTCTCTCTCTCTCTCTCTCTCTCTCTCTCTCTCGCGCGCGCGCGGTGATGTGCTCTTTGCTTGTCCTTTGTTTGTCTATTTTTTCTTCCGGCGGCTCCTAGATTGAGGGGAGCGGGGCGCGAGGAAAGACGCCTTGACTAAGGTCCTTCCTGGAGAGCGGGCGAGCGCTGCCGGCCCCGCCACCTCGGCCCGGCGCGGCAGAGCGCCCCTTTCATGACAGGGAGTGGCGACTGCCCTCGGAGCGGCCGCCCTCCGACTGGGCGTCACTCGTGTGCTTCTTTCCACTCCCCGGCGACCGGAGGCCAATCTTCCGACGCCAGCCGCCCTTGCCGCCGGCCGACCCCGCCGCCGTGCCAGGCTCGGCCCCGGCGGCGCCACCATTCGCCCCTGCCTGCCCGGGCGCCCGGCCATCGTCGTCATCGTCATCGTCATCGTCATCGTCATCGCTGTCGAAGTAGTCCGACAGCCGGCCCTGGGAGGAGGATCGCGACATGGCCCCCGATCGGCTGGTTCCCTGGCTGATGGTGTCGCCGACGGCGGTGCCGGCCCCGCGCAAGCCGTCGGCCACGGCTTCGGCCGAGGTGGCCGCCATGCGGGCCATGCCGCGGAAGCGCGCCGTCACCCCGGCCACCAGGCGCCGGTCGGCGGCCCACTGCCCGGCCGAGGTTGCCACCCCGGGACGCACTTCGAAAGATTGCCCGGCCATGCGTGGCGTGACGAGGGACTTCCGGCTGAGGGCCGGCGGGATGGCCGCCGCCTGGCCGCCGGGCTCAAAGCAAAACCCGCTCCCCGGGGCCAGGTCGACCGCCGGGTCGCCGGATCCGCCGAACAGCGACAGGCGAATGAGCTCCCCGCCCGGGGCGGTCAAGATCAGCAGGTCATCATCTCCGATGGGCGGCGTGCAGATGCGCGCCTCGCTGGGCACATTTCGCGGTGCACATCGGGGCAGGGCATGTGCCGGCCAATGGCCGCGTGTGTCAGTTGCCGAAGGCCGCCCGGTCGTCACTTGCATCCTCCCCCTTCCCTCCCCTCTGCCCCTTTCCCGTGAATATGGGCCCATAGCCATCGATCCGGGCTGGCCTGCCGGCTCATTGGCCACGGTGTGATGCAGCAGCCAGCACGCACAGTACCGAGAAGGGCAGCAGTTGGTGGCAGGCAATCTTGAAGGTGGGCAGACTGTAGACAACAAGGGCGCCATGCGGGGCCGTGGTGAGGGCCTGCATGCGGGGCCCGGCCGGCGTCGGGGCCGACCGGGAGTGGTTCCCCTGTGCTCGGGCAATCGCTGCCAGCTGGCCCTGCGCGGCATCATGGTCCACCAGGCACTGGCATGCCGGGGCTCCGGCCCCGGAGCCGGGGACTTGCTCCTCGCGCAGGCAGGCCGCCAGGGCCACGACAAAGCACTGGCCGCCCAATTGGCGGAAGGCCGCCGCACAGATGCGCGTATCGGGCGAGTGCTTGTTCAGATAGGCGCACGTGGGCATGGAGTACACGCGCCAGTGCGACGCAGACAGCACCACCAGCGGGTAGGTGCCTCGTGGATTGGCTCGGGCTGGGTCGGTCGGAGGGTGAGTACTTTTTCTGCATGCATGTGCAGTCGCACGGGGCACGCTGGGCAAGAGGCAGGGCACTGTCGCACGGTTGGTCAAGTCGAAGGGGAAGGGCGCTGCCGATGATGGGGAACCCACGCCCGGGGTGGTGGTGGTGGCGGCGGCGGCGGCGGCGGCGGCGGCGGCGGCGGCGGCGGTGCCCGCATGGCCGCCAGGGGGGCTGGCCGGCGGCGGGGCCGAGTCCGAGCGCCATGTCCAGGCGGCGTCGAACCCTGCGATGGCCAGTGTCCGGCTGGGCTTCTTGGCCGTACGGGCGATGTGCGGCACAACTTGAGCCGCATCAATGTCCACGGCCACGAGCGTGCCATCCGCCAAGCCGATGAAGGCGATCTTCCCCGAGGCCGGGCCTGTGGCCGGGCAGATGGTGTGGCCGGGCCGGTCCGGTCAGTGTGCATGGGATGGTGCCATGGCACGCGGCCAGTGGGGCGGCAGGTCTCACCATGCCCGGGAGTGGGGCATGCGGCGGGTGATGTCGTACCGGTGGGCTCCTGTCCGAAGGTGAGCGATTCGACTGTGGTCACCTCGTTGAGGCGGCGCGGGGCGACCGGCCGCGCCGGGGGGGCTGCGTCTGCCGCGCCGGTCGACCCTCCGGCCGGGGCCGGAGCCGGAGCCGCGAAAAGGTCCACTGTTCGGCTGGTCATGTCGCGCAAGCGAAGGATCGTGCAGTGGCCATCCCGGCCACCGAAGAAGACCCTGAAAGGGGGGGGGGGAAGGAGGCGCGGGCCGGGCGTGTGTCAGCGCGGCATCCGGCCAGCGCAAGGGGTTTTTGTTTGGTCCGCGCGGCCGCCTGCACGCCAAGTGGGGGCGTGCGCGTCTCGGCACGCAGGATGGACCAGGGGGCGGGCGGGGGAGGGGAGGGGGGACGGATCGACGCACGTTTCATTGTCCAACTGGCGGGCGAACGAGTAGCCCCGGCCGCCGGGCGCCGGGCAGGCGACAAACGCTAGGCGGAAGGCGCACTGATGCCCAAGGGTCAGGCCCAGCCCCGGGCCCGGATCGGGGGATCCCACCTCGAACAGGAAGATCTGCCCTGCCCGCGTGGCGGCTGCCACATACTGGTGCGAGGCGCCGGCCGTGGGGAAGGCCGGATCCTCGGACCAGGTGCACATGGCCACGGCACTGACCGCCGCGCTGGACGCGCCCCAGGAGGCCACCCCGGCCGGTAGGAGGTGCATGACCAGCCGCAGGGGGATGGTGGCCACATGGCGCAGGAAGCTGGGGGCCTCCTCCCACACGCGGACGATTCCCTCCTCGTGCCTAATGTGTGTGTGTGTGTGTGTGTGTGTGTGTGGAGGGTGCGCGCGCGGGCAGCCCGATTAGTTCCACATATTGGCGGCATGACCTGTGCCATGCGGCAGCTGACATTGCCTGGCCCAGGGGCAGGGGCGGGGCGAGCGGCTGGCAGCATGCCCATGTTCGTACCCGGTGCACAGGAAGGTGGCCTTGGAGAATTCGCCCGGAGTGAAGGTGCGCGTCCCGCCAAAGAGCGGCGTGTCGGGGCCGGAAAAGTGCGCCAGCGCCCCGCGCAGGGATTGCAAGGCCGCCGACCCGACGGATGTCGTGCCGGCGGCGGGCGTCGGGGCGGTGTCGGGCGCCGTGCGCTCGGTCTTCGACGTCTTGACCCGGAGGCCGGCGAAGCCGGGGCGCTTTTTCTTCTCGGATGGCGGCTCCGATGCTGGCGGCTGCGGCGGGCCGGACGCCTCGCCGCCGGGGTGGACATGTGCCTGGGGGGAGGTGGCACTGCCGCCGGGGACCCGCCACCGGCGCACCGCCTCGGCCGTGGTGGCGGCCGAGGTGGACCCCGGGTCGGCCAGGCCCAGGGCCGCGGCCCAAGTCTCCAACTCTCGAGCCACCGGCCGGCTCCAGGTGCACATGGCCGGGGCCAGGGCCGTGCAGGGGGGCTGCGTGAAGCCCGGCGCGCCGATCGGCTGTGGCAGCAGGGCCCGCACATGTCCGGTTGTCAAATGGGCCGGCGGGGCCGGCGGCTGTGACTGGCAGGGGCTGGGCGCGGTGGCGACCGGGGCCCCGGCTTCGGGGGCCGGGGCATCGGCCGGCCGTGCGGCGCGCCCCGGGCTGAAAAGCCGATCCAGCCCGAGCTTCTGGCCGGGGGTCTTTTTGCCCGGGGTGGCGGGGGCATCGGCGGCCCGCGGGCCCGGGGCCGAGCTCGTGCCCAGGCCCGGGGGCAGCGCGACCGGGTCATCCGGCGAAGGCTTCTGCCCCGGCTCCGGGATGGCCGCCAGCAGGAGGCCCCCATGGCCGGGGGCCAAAACCACCAAGGAGGTGGGCTGCTCGGCCACATCCCGATGCGGCGTGCCATACATCACCATCATGGTCCGGGCGTTGGAAAAGGGCGTGGTCGGGCCGGGGGCCGTCGGAGAAACCGGGCTCCCGACCGGCGCGGCACTGGCGCCTCCATCGCCCGGCAGGCGCGGGGACCCGGTCGGATGCAGGGACAGCTGGTCCGGCAGGGGCAGCAGCAGGGTCCGCCGCCGGGGGATGGAGATCGCCACGCTCGCGGGCGTGTCCTGCTGCTTGCCGGCCGAGGGGGACAGGGGCAGGGCCTCGGCCAGCTGGACCATGACCACGCCGTACGGCTCAAAGAGGGCCATTCCGCCGAGCACATACACCGGCGAGGGGTTCTTGGAGCTGGCTCGGGCCGTCAGCGGGGCCGCGAGGCGAGGGGGGCTCCCCATGCGAAGGGGCATCTGCGTGTTTGATTCTTCTTTTTTTCCTCCCTCCACCCACCCCGCTAATGGCCAACGCACCCGAGAGGCCCGCCAGACCGGCACCAGTTGAGAGCGCGCACGGGGTGCGCGTCGCCCGCAGCCGCGGCCACTGCTCGGGCAGCGCCATCGGCGGCAGGGGCGAGGCCGGGGGGGGGGGGGGGGGCAGCGGAGTCAGCGTGGGCACTGGTCCCGAATCCGGGAGATGTCCAGGGGAGGGATGGCCCGAGGGGCATGGGCAGGGGTGCATCAAGCGTGAGGTACACTTTCGATGAGCTCCGCGTTGAAGGAGTGTTCCAGCGCCGCGCGGCCCAGGACATAGGTGTAGATGCGACCGCCGGCGAAGGACACCAGGACCTGCTTCTTGTCGCGCGGGTCGGCGGCCATCACCCCGACGGGAAAGAACCTGGCCCGCCACGCGACACATGGGTCAGTCTGTGTGCGGGGGCGGGGGCGGGGGATGGGGCGGGAGGAGAGGGCGCACTTGACTTGGGGCGGGTCGGCCACCACCGGGAGGAGTGTGGGCATGCCGGACTTGAAGTCGTAGCACACAACCTGGCCCCGGGTCAGGGCAACAAACAGGCGCTTGGAGCAGGCGGACACCGTGGCGCAAGTCCAGCTGGCGGGCGGAACAGGCAAGGCAGAGGGCAAATGCGCAGGCGCCCGGTGAGCTTTCGAAAGGAGGGAAGGAGGAAGGGCGACGGCGCAGCATGCGGCCCAGTGGGGGGCACGTACGACTCGTCCCACACGGACTGGTGAATCAGGGCATTTTCCTCCAGCGACCAGAGGCACAGGACGTTGGTCCGGTCGATGGACAGCAGCGTGTGTCCCTTCGGGCACGGCCGCGATGTCGAGTACCGAAAGGTGCGTGTCAGATCCCCCCCGGTGCGGGTGGCAGGGATGGGGGGCAGCGCGCGAAGGCCCGGGCCGCCGGGCGCCATTCAATCATACCTGGTTGGTGCGCAGGAATGCCATGAAGCGCACAGGCGTCTGGTGGAGGTGGGCGGCCGTGATTTGTAGGCCCTCCGCCCCGTAGCTGTGCCCGGTGTGGATGGGTCAGTGGCCGAGGCGCGCGGGCAGGCATTCCGGGTGATCGGCCGACAGCGCACAAGTTAACAACACCACTGCGGGCCCCGACGGCGACAATGCCCAGGGCAGGGCAATGGGCCAGGTGCGTCGCATCGGAGGAGATGCCGTGGCGATTGACCTGGCGGGGCGGGCGGGCAGTCGCGACAGGGGAAAAAAAAAGCAGCCCGAGAGAGTCCGCGTGTGCGTGTGTGTCAGCGACTATGTAAGTTGGGGGGGGGGAGGGACCGGGCTGGAGGGGGTGCGTGACACGAGCACCATCAGGCCCGGGGCCTCGTGGAAGAGGCTGGAGCGGAATCGAAGGGACTGGCGGAGATCTAGGCCGTCGGTGCATCTGTGCCTCCCCTTGCTCCTGTGCCTCCTCCTCGCCCGCCTGGCACCGTTCGCTCGCCGGGGCTTCCCGCCCCCCTCCCCCATCCCGGGAAATGGCCCAGGCGCACCAGTTGAGGCTTGAACTGATCGGGGTCGAAGTTGACCTCGAATTCCGGCCCTAGGTAGGTGATCTTCTTGAGGAAACGCAGCCCGGCAAAAAGGGCCATAGTGAACGGCGAAGTGGGCCCTCACGCGCGTGCGATCTGACAATGATACCAAAGGCGACAAGGGCGCTGACGGCCGACGCTATGGGCGCGTGGCGGAAGGTGGACTCCGCGCCCGTGCAGGGGGGAGGGGGGGGGGAGAGAGACCAAAGCCCGGGGAGGCAAGTGAGGGGCAAACGAGAGGCAAGGCAAAAAGCGCCGGGGCTCGAGCGAGAGAGGGAGGGAGGGAGGGGGGGGGATAGGTGGGGGCGCTAGTTAGCACACTTTCGACCGTGAGGGACCCCGACGGAGCCCCGGCCGAAAAGAGGGCCCCAGGCGCCGGGCACGATCTCGGTGTGGAGGGGCGGCCTGCGCGGCACGGAGCCGCCCTGCGGTCCTTTGCCGGGGGCCTATCTGTGGGCATACAGGGGGGGGGGGACCGATCGCGGCGACGGCCTCGGGGGACCGCCCGGCCCGGCGGCCTCGATCGGCCCCGCCCCCGGGCGACGGACGCGGCGGGCGGGACACACGGACGGGGCGCCCAGTTCCGGCCTCCGGCTACCGGCAAGCCCGGCTGCCCGAGATAGAGACTAACTGTGGTGGGAGAGCGCGCATTCCTCCGGCTGGCCCCCCCCGGTGCCCGGGGCCGCTGGCCACCGGCGCGCAGTGGGGCGCGCGCGCGCCTCGGCCCGAGAGGAGCGCGTGCTTGCGGGAACGGCATCACAGAACGAGCTGGGCGAGCTGGTGCCGTTCTTGTGATTCAGCATACGGAGTGCTTGATCGTGGGAACGAGAACTGTCATTGTGAGAATGTCGTTCCTTGATGAAGCCCCAGTGTCGACGCCTCTCCATTGTTCTCGCTCCTCCTCGCGTCTGTTCTCCGCTGGCCTGCCGGCCAGCCGGCCGCAGTGGGAGGCAGAGAAGGACAGGGGTGGTGAAGATCGGGTCGCCCCGAGGGGGGGGGGGACAAATAAAAATGCAGAAAAAGATCCAAAGACGCGCGACTCCGGTCGGCCCGCACCCACACCCAAGCGTACGGGCAGGAGCGGGGCGGGGAGAGGGGGGGGGGGTGCCACCGCGAGGGGATCTAGCGTCCCCGGGCCCTAGACCCCTCGAGACGGCAGGGGGGGGGGGGCGGGGGGGGGCCTGTGTCGGGTTCCCCGTCCCCCGCTCGTCCCTGGTCGGTTGTTGGGCCGCTGTCGGGGGGTGGGCGATCAGCCGGGGCTGGTGCCACGAGGGAAGTGGCACCGGGGATGTTGGCGCGCATTGCCCCCCCGAGCGCGTGTGCCTGTGGGTGTGCGTGTGTGCGTGGCCTGGCCCGCGGTGCGGTGTTCCGACGGCCGGCGGCCGGGCGGTCGGCCGGCAGGGGGACGTGCCGTATAAGTGGGGGCCGCCCGGCTCGTGGCCTCCAAGCCGGTCTTCCTACCACTTTTTAATTCTCGTTAATTTTTGGTAAAAACAACACTCTTCCCCCCAAACATCACCATGGAGCGTACTTACATTATGGTCAAGGTACGCGCATGCGCCCTCCCGGCTGGTCACCCCCTCTCTCTCGCCCCCTTCCTCCTTATGGCTGTCCTCTTCTTCAGCTTCATGCACTGGTCCTGACCCCCATGTCCGCCCGCCCTCGCGCACATTTTGTCCCCGCCCCTGACGTGTGTGCCGTGGCCAACAGCCTGATGGCGTCCAGCGCGGTCTCGTTGGCGAGATTGTCAAGCGCTTCGAGCAGAAGGGCTTCAAGCTTGCCGCTCTCCGCCTCATGACCCCCACTGAGGAGCACCTGAAGCAGCACTACAAGGACCTCGCTGTACGTGTCCCTCGCGGCGCGCCTTGCCTGGCCGCGCTCGTTGCCTGGCCATTGCACCCTGTCCCCGCCGCCTCGTCGGGGCTCGCCACTCACCGGCCGGTTTCTCACCTTCGCTTGTTCTCCCTCGCCTGCTCCCCCCCTCCCCCCCCCCCCCGGCTTCCCTGCCGCCCCTGCCGCCCTTGCCGCCCTCCGGTGGAACCCGCAGGAGAAGCCCTTCTTCCCCGGCCTCATCAAGTACATGACCTCCGGCCCCGTCGTCGGTATGGTCTGGGTCGGCAAGGGTGCTGTCACCACCGGCCGCAAGATGCTCGGCGCCACCAACCCCGCCGACTCTGCCCCCGGCACCATCCGTGGCGACTTCTGCATTGAGGTCGGCATGAACATCTGCCACGGCTCCGACACCGTCGAGAACGCCGAGGCCGAGATTGCCCTCTGGTTCCCCGAGGGTGTTGCCACCTACGAGAAGTCCGAGGATGCCTGGCTGTACGAGAAGCGCAACTAAGCGTCTCGTCCCCCCTGTGGATACACCCTGTTCCTCCTTCTCCCGTGTGTGCTCTGCATGCCCACCTGCATCGCCCACATCATGGGTCACTGCCACAAGTGCGCGCGCCCCCTTCTCTGTGCCCCGCTCCTCCTGCCGCGCCGCGGTCCGCGCGCGTGGCTGGCTGGCCGCGCGGGGGCTGACACATCGGGGAGTGGCTCGCGCTTGTGCGCATGTCCTCTCGCGGGTCGATCCACCTATCTCTCTTTCTCCCTCTCTCTCTCTCTCTCTTGCCTCTGTGCATCTCGGTGCCGCGCGCCCTCCCTCCCGGGGAGGGGCCTTCGCGTGTTCCCTCGAGCGAGCGAGAGAGACGGGGGCCGACAGAGAGGGGCACTCAAAATACACCCGGTCCCAAAAGCATTCCCTCCCCAGCCTTGTTTCCTTTCTCTCCCCCCCCCCTCCCCCCCCCGCGCGCGCCCTATCCTACGTCGCGCACTTTACGCCGCCCGTCTCCTTGCCTCTGCGCACGAAAGAGACCGAGGAGCGAGCGAACGAGCGAACGGCAGTCGGGCAACATGTGAGGGATGTGTCGGCCTCTTTGGATGGGCGGGCGCTCTGCGCGCCATGCCTTTTTTTTTTTTGGTGGGGTCCTTTTCTTCTGTGCCTACTCCTCCTCCGGGGTGTGTACCACCACGCACGGCCGCGGCGGCGGTTACCAACTTTGCGCGCGGCGACAGAAGCCCGGACCATGCCGATCGAGAAAAATAATGTATGATTGGAGTGGGACTCGAACCCACGCGGTTTCCCACCAGTGCCTTAAACTGGCGCCTTAACCACTCGGCCATCCAACCTGACAAGATGAAGGTAGGGCCCTCCATTGGTTATTGTAACCTTCGCCGCCCAAATCCCAGAATTGGTCACGGGTTGTCACGTGACCACATCTGAGAAGTCGGATCCCCGGCTCTCCTCTCCTCTTGGGGAGAGCCGCGCCTC